CAATGACCTACAGCAGTGTTCTGTCAATTGCTTACTTACGCACATATTCGGGCCACTTCATTGAACAATAAGTAGCGGTCAAGGGTAAAATGATGACAATCAAATTATGACCGAGAGAAACACTAAAGCAAATTGAATTATTCAAAAGTCAAAAGCAGCATTTTGAATAATTATTTAGAAAATTGCATAAATTATTAGGAAAGGATGTGAGTGAAAACCACTTGAGAAAGCTATAAAAGGATGGAGCAAACATCATCGAAAGCATTAATAGCTAACATCTTAACAGAAAGCGTAGGGTCTCTCAAACGAAAAGTTCAAAGTTTTGTTTAGAAAAAATTATTAAAAATGGCTTCTTATCGAAGTGCACGTACACACATCGGTTGGTTCGCCAAGCTGAGCTTGACATTGATACTTGCCTTAGTTTTGCGACAAAATGGAATTCAAGGGCTGTGAGTATATAGTATTGTACAAGTATTAGCATAATATTTTCTTTTATACAAATAATAATTTATTTTATAAATTTTTACTTCCAAAGGAAATCATTCGGCCCCTCCATTAATTGTGGCCCAAAGAGTGTGTATCCTGAAAGTTGCAAATATGGTAAGTTAGCTCTTGCCCATTATACAGAGCTTTTTACAACTTAATTTTTAATTTGATTTCGCATTTCGTAGGCAGCTTCAGTATAAATTATAATCCCGAATTCTGTCTTCCACGCACACTATGTCGCAAGGGTGTGGGTGAGGTCTGCCGTGAATATGGCGGAAGCAGCGATTGTAAACCGGGTTTGAACTGCAACTGTTATCGTCGCTGTAGTGAACATCCCGATACCTGCTCATTTTTTGGTAACGGTATATTGGATTTGAATACTAAAAATTAGATAAGGGAAAAAGTAGGTTTTAGACAATTTTCTACGCATAAAGGTTTAGACGGCTCAGCAGCATTAGTATGTATACAGTATTTATATAGAAAAATCATATTAATAATTTTTCATAACTGTAGACTATAATATAATATTAAATTAGTAAGTTCACCATGCTACTGGATGAAAATTTAAAAATATTTATAGAAAAATTTTAAAATTAATAAGATAAAATAAAACGGTAATAATGAGGCATACTTAAATATATGAGCAAATATTCAAAATCGGTTGCTTGTGTTTTTATTTGTTTCATGTAATATAAAAATCTATTATTATATTTCTTTTTGGGAGGGTATGAAAATTTGTTCACTTACATTTTCTTATTTTACATTTGTGTTATATATTTATTTAGAAGACAGAGTTTTAAATACTTTCCTGTTACTTGAACATATTTTTGGTTTTTTTTTTGATACTTTCTCTAGAGAAAGCTTTCAACTACTTATCGATCTCATAAATAATTATACTATTTTATTTAGAATTTGACATCTTCGAAAAAGTCTCATCTTTGAAAACTAACATGGGTTCTTAAAATTAAAATTAAAAAATTTCCGATTTTATTAATTATATCATTAAAACCAGTTTACTAATACAATAATGTTAACTTTTGCCTAATACCTTTAATAACTACGAAAAGTTATCGAGTAATCTTTGTACCAATCATAAAATATACATTTATTTATTTTTCGTATTACATGCGATCTCTGACGGCAAATTAAGATCGGTCACTGCTGAAGTGATTCCGTTCGCAGAAAAAGAATCTCTAGAAGATAGTATCCGCACATTGACGTTCGAAAAAAAATCAAAATTTGTTTTCTATGAAACAATTTGCACATCAGAGTGGCTTAGATATCGAAATTATTTTATTCTTCCGATCATTACCTGACAAATATATCTAAATTTTAATCACCGGCTCTGACAGTGTTTAAAAAAGCGCGCTTAAAGTTTTGGGAACAGATCTCCGAAATTATTTACCGGATCGACTTCAAAATTACAGAGAATGTTTTCAAACACATATACATCGTTATATATACAAAGAAAGAAAATAATTTTTTTTTTGTAATTCATAGGTGGATATAACCCCTCAATTGACTTAATGCCAATAATTATAACAGCGAACTGTTACCAACAGCAGTATTCTATTCCATAAACAGAGAATGTTGAAAAATAACATTTGGCCAGAGAATGTTAATAAATAACACTGATTTAACATTGACTGCTTTAACATTGTCTGTCTTAACCAGAGCAGAGAATGTTACCATTTAATGTTAACACACTGTATTCGGAAAATATTAAGATATGTTCTGCTGTTGCTGTTACCTGTGAGCATTTAACATAACAGCAAAGTGTTAACTGACAGGTAACAGTTCCAACTTGAACAGTCGCAACAATGATTTCCATTTTCGTCATTAATTTACAGCATGAAAACCGGCTGTGCACCTGTTGATCCCAAACGAATCAAACAGTAGGCAAGTCAACACTCGAACAAGTTGGCCAACCAGCCAACCAGCCAACTCTCCAACTAGCAAGCAAACCGACGAACACCAAACCCAACAAACATCGCANATCCGGAGCCTACGTTACTCGCTTGGGCTTAGTGTTGTTTGTGTGTTTGCTTGCCTGCCTGTTCGCTTGGGACAGGTCTACAGCAGTGAAGTGGAAACAAGTTTTACGTCCCAACTTCAACGCGTCCGCCTAGTTGGTAGGCGTTTGTGCGCCATCGCTCCCCTCTTTCCGAGCCCAGCATCGGTCCACACGGCACGTCGCCCCAACTAAAGACGTTTTTGTGTTTGTTGTTCGCGCTCTGCGCTCTGCGCTCGGTGTGTGTAATTCACTCGTTCATAGTTCTCTCCCTCGCTGCTCCAAATTCGCCTGTGCATTCGCGTTCGTACAGTTAATTTGTATCGTTTGTGTTGTTGCATTTGTTGTTGCCGTTACTGCTGCTGCTAACTTGCAGTCTTAACCTTTTCGGTAGAGCTACTGTTGCTGTTGTTGTTGCTGCTGTTACTGCTGAGTATTGTGTTTTGTGCAACAGGTGAATTCAATTGAAAGGAAATGAGTCGTATTGTTTTAGTTGTTTTTGGTTTAGGTTGGCGGGCCGTTAAATATGTTTATTCTTAAGTAAATGAATGTGTGCTGTGCTTTTGTGGGTGTGCGTGTTGTATTGTTGCGAAAAGTGATGGGATTAAAGCACTTGGTAATCTGAGTAGTGTTTTGAAATAATTGTCCACTTGCTCGTGACAAATTTCTTTTGCGAACAAAAGTGAAAAGGGTTAAAAATAATTGTACGCGACAACAAAAATTGATGACAAGAACAAAATATAACACATAAAAAAACAAAAATAGAAAATATATAATATGAATATGCAAAAAGTGTCATTTGCTACGAAAGTTTCGCAAATAGCATACTGAGGTTTTTAAAGTTTGAGGATTGTCGAAACAAAATGCATATATGAAGAATAAAACGGAAAACGACAGCAAGAATGAAAATTGGTTTTCAACAATAAGCATAAACTAAGAATAAAAAAGTGATTTAAAAATATTGAAATTCATGGAAAAATTTAAAATTAATTTTTTTTTACTTTATTTCTAAAGAAATCACCGCAAAATTTATTCTATGAAAAACAAATCTAAATAAATTTAAGTGCGAACTTATCTTAATGAATATTCTACTCATTCACCTTCATTTGTTAACTGTTTATTGTTATTGTTTAAAACGTGAGTTTACTATCGCAAGAATGCATTACCGTTAGAAATACGCAAATTTAACGCAAAAAGAAAAACAGCAATACTCCAAATTGAGTATTATTTACAAAATGTTGTTTTTCAAACGTGTAAAAACATATGCCTTTCAAAAAAGCGATAAATAACAAAAAGCTTTCTTAATATAAAAAAATTTAGTTACAAAAATATTACAATCATTACAGAAACAATTATTACTATTATTATTAGACACGTTTGGGAGGACGTCAGGAATGATTCTTAAAATGATAGTGAATGAGCGGGTCTCAAAATATATATAATTCAAAAAGTGCAATAATGGTTGAAGTATATTGAAAACCATTAGTTTAATGTGAAAGTAAAAAAAAAAATTGTTTTAATATTAAATTAAATTATATTATTATTTTTTATAATATTAAAAAACTTGACATTTACAAAATTTTAAATTTGCAGTATTTAAAGTTCACAAAAATTAAAATAATATTTTATTAAATATTAAAAAGAAATTTTAACTTTAAATATTTTCCATTAAAAATTTTTTCTTTTCTTTGAGCGCAAAGTAAATCGAAAAAATATTAATGATTTGACTAAAATTTACGAAAGTTAGTGTTTGAAAAAATTTTCTTAAAGAGATGTTTAAAATTCTTTCAATGAAGCTTTCAAAATATATTCCTTAACTACGTGTAATATATTTAAATTATAATTAATAAAACAACTAAAAAACCGCATAAAAATTTAAAAAACAATAATTATGGGAATGTAAACTGTGCACAACTGTTAAATGCATATAAACGTATTTTTACATATGCATTCCAGTTCAAAATCAAAAATAAAATATAGTCGTCTTAAAAACTTAAGTGTTTTTTTTCTACTCCTAAAGTAAGTTTTAAATATAAATCATTAAATAGATGAAGTGAATATTTTGATAGAAATTTCAAATACATTTTCTTACAAAATAAAAAAGTAGAGTTTTTGGAGCCGAAACTTATTTTTTATAAGAACTTAGATTATAAAATGAGCTATAGGATGAAAATTAATGTATATAAATCTTGAATGTTTTTGAAATTTTTTCTTTTACGAAAGCCAATATACATAATTATGCTTCTTAGATTCAAAAAAATTAAAAATTAAACACTGACTATAAACCAACATTTAAGATTATCTAAATCTACTAACGCAACTGATTTCATCATATATCAATAATTACAGAAATATTTCTCAATATATAAAAAAGTAAATGCTAAACTAAAACTTCAATTTCTTTCTTGGATCGATAAATCGAGTTATTGTGTTCTTAGTTCAAGTAGACCAAAAAAAAAAAAAAAAATCGCAAGTAAAATAAAAAATTTTATTCAGAGATTAGTTTCTGTTTCGTTTGATTTTTTCAAAAACTCTAAACATTCTAATTGTTCTTTTTACTACAATTTTATTAAACTAATTTATTCATTCAGATAAGATTTATGGTGTTACACTGCTCTACAATAATATCCCAAAATCGGTTTTAAGACAATTAATAAGCAAATAATAATATTTCAAGCAATAAAATTGATTTTAAATAAAAGTATGATTTTTCAAAACACTGTTTGGAGAAAGAACTGAAGGCTGAGAAATAAATCCATTTTGACTTATACAAGCTCTATATATACGAACCTTAGCAGTTTATTAAGTCCTAATTGCAAACAAACGGTTTGAACTTCTCAAATTGTTGGTAAATATTTAATAAAAACTTACTTCCAAAAAAGGTATACATAGTATATCAAATATACTAAAAATATTTATTTCACTGAAAAAAATTTATCGGTTAATTTTATTTGGTTTTACTTGTAACATTTTAACGATAATAAACAGTTACTTGTATTGCTGATTGACAATACTAATTTTGCTTTTAAGTTTACTTTCCGTATGCTGATGCTACGCTCTGCAATGACCCACTTTACTAAACCACTTTACTAAACTGCAAGAAAAAAGACATAAAAAAATCACTGCACAAATTCCTTTCTCTCAACGAGAATAAAATAAATCACGCGTTTATCAATAGAATCCGAAAAGAAAATCGTTGTATTACGTTGTGGCAGGCAACGCATCATGTTTGCTAAAAGTGTGCGTGCGCGCTTTCTAACGGTACATGCGTGCATTTGCCATTGTGGCAATGCGAAAACAAACCGGAGAAAAGAAAAAAGCCAACCGAAAGAACACAAAAAACAAAACCATTACTGAACAAATTGGCGTTGAGTCTGCATTGCAGCTGCTTCTTCTTCTTAATCTTATCTGCACCTACCAACTTTAGAAAATTCAATCAAGTCTTTGTTTTTGGGAATTTGCAGTTTTTGCTGTGATTGTTTTTCGTGCCACAATCATTGCTGCATGCACTTTATTATTATCTATTTTCATTGTTTTTCACTCAACCGCCATTTTTCCTGCGCTGCCGGTTGCCGCAACTGTTTACCTGTCGTTACCATTTGGCGGCGCAGCAGTTGACCTCATTTCCTTCGGCTGCCACTTGGCTGTTGGCGCGTCGCCGGTGCTGGTACTGCTTTTGTGCCGTTAACCAGCCAGGCACCCAGCCAGCTCCAAACAACAAAAAGCATGGCAAGCAAACAGCTGTGGTTGCATAGATGCCCTGGCGTTGCAAGCGGATTTCGTTGCCACAGGCCGTCATAGAGTTACATACATATTTACAAACCGCATAAATAATACAAACCCACAGCGTCGCAACGGCACTGCGAATTCTCTTTGCGGCCGCGTCTCTTCCCACCATCCGCCATTGCGCCGCTGTCACGTTGTTGCAGAAGTTACCAGACAACTTTTACTGAACTGCAGTCAATATTTTGCCAATTTTTACTAGAATTGTAGTTTTATTTTTTTCTTTGTTTCTTTTTTGGTTGTTAGTTTTATTGCCTTTTTCTTTATTTCTAATACTCGAGTAAAGCGCTGACAACAACTTCGTGGTATTTCGTTTCACTGTTGCAAATTTTGTAATTTTTTTTACTCTCACAGCATATTTCGATACGTCCACACCACGTGGGTGTCTGTCTGCCATACAATAATGAAATTTATATTGATTTTAATGGAAATGTGTATTTTCGTCTTCACTCTTATTTAAAGAAAAGGGAAATTGGTTGTTGAGAAAATACATTTTCCACTTTCAGTAATTCTTCGTGCCTAACCAACAACAAATTTACGTCAGATCTTGTGGCTGTTATTGTATTATGTAGCACAACTGTGCAAGTGGTACCATTTTCGCACACAATGCTCATCTTCGCAGCAAGGCTTTTTTTCAAATTGTAGCTATTAAAAGTTTTTCAAAAACTATGTTTTCTATTTTTCTTACAAATACGCTTTATGTGTAGATAGCAAATAAACAATTTTGTCGGATATTATACCATTGTCTTGGACAATAGCTAATGAATAATTTGGTGGAGATATCTCGTCAAATATGAAAATTTGTCCGTACAAGCACATGATTCCGATCGTTCAGTTTGTATGGCAGCAATATATGATATAGTGGTCTGATATCAGCGGTTCCAACAAATGTGCATTTCTTGGAAAAAAAATGTGTTTGCAAATTTTCAGATCGATATCTCAAAAAATCAGGCCCTAATTCACTTATATATATATGCGACAGATGGATAGACAGACATTTCATTCTGCTTCTTCGACGTTTCCTTCTACAAATTTCGTGGCAAACTTAATATATCCTGTAAAGAGTGTAAAAATTGAACTCTCATTTTCTAGACAATTCTGTTGATTATTTTGTATTCGATATATATTAACGAAATAAAGATCAAATTGAGTGAGAAGATTATATACTACAGGAATATTTGAGCAAAAAATAAAAACTTGTTAAGCGAATTCGTAAAAACATAGAAATAATTTAATTAAAAAGTGTTTATTTCCTCAATTTTATTGTGCTTACTCTTTCTACTTCAATATCGATTTTCCTATCATATATGATTTCTCCCTTTTTCGTAAATGAAGGAAAATTTATGTTATATTCCATGATTACAAAAAAAAACTTATTTTCCTAAATTTCAAAACTTTTCAGTAAAAATTGTATGTCTCTTAAGATAGCTTACATTCTCTTGATTGATGGAATCTAAAGACAAATTTGATTTAAATATTTGTTGATCTCCAATATTTTTCATTTGGTAACTACCCCTTAACTTACATATTCTAATAAATTGTATTTTTCATGAGGAATACAATTCTTTCATAACTTCGTTTTAATAAAGACATCCTGGAAATTGTTGGCTAAATCCGTGATTTCGGAGTATACATTTTTACAAATTTATGAAGAAGACCTGCAAGTTCTGGTAATGACATGTTCTCCATTTTTTACATCAAGGAGATCGCACTTTATTCTAGTAGTCGATAATTTTCCCGGTAGAAATTTTTAGTTCCGAGTATGAAGATAGAAAAATGAGCTTGGCTATGCATCCAGTTCCATTTGCTCACTTCTTTTAAAAAAAGGGTTTCAGTAACCTGTGAATTATTAAAAAAATATTTAACAAAATAATCCAAGGGTCCAAAAGATTTTTCGAAGCTAATTAGTTTACAACTGACAACTGAAATTCCTGTGCACCTTTTCTCATGCAACAGACGCCAAACACTTTAATGCACTCTGTTGTATTATTACGTAACTTATGTAAAATATGATATTATACACACATACAGCTATATGTACGTCATTAATATGTATGCGCGTGTGTATGCGTAGACATTTATGCAATTTTCTTGACACTGAACTTTTATTTATTTTCTATTAACTCACCAAATATGTATGTTGTTGTGTCAATTTTATTTATGCTCCCTTATTTACAAATATTCTATATTTCTTTCAGTGCAGCCGCTTGTCTTCTACATAAATTGCAATAAAATACATGCTCATGTATGCGTAAAAATACATAAATATATGAAGTGTTCGTTTGTGAAGCTTAATCAGAGTAAATATTCAAATATCGTAATATAATTAACAACTGTCGCGAATGGCTCTTATATAAATATACCTATACACAAATGTGAATGCAATAAAGTAAATAAATAATAATAATGAAGTGTGCTTAAAACTACAAACAAACTCACTACAACAACACATGCATCTTGAATTAAATGGAATAAGTCTGCTACAACTACAATTATATATTTCTTGACTGGTGAGTAGATGTTAAAAGTTAATATTGGCGATAAAATTAGAATATATGAATATGTTTGTATGTGTTTACCACATTGCCCCTAGAAATAAATTTGCAAAAATTATATATGCATATATGTGTAAACAAAAAGCAGTGTACGATAATTTGTTTAAATTCTCGATGCTTTTATGGCTTTAAGCATTTTCTGTTCTTAGTAAATAGTAAGCGCAGAATATGTAAATTAAGATGCTCAACGCTTTAAGATAACGCCCAAAAGAATTATTTAGTACTCGTTTTGCTACTAGATTGCGTAAGTATGATCCATACTAGTGCATGACGTTATAAAATGCATAAGAATAAAATGAGATTTTATTATTTATTTCCCAAAACGTTACTCATAAAGTTACTGCTTCAGAGTGACGCTTGTTTAAAAAAAAAAATTATTATAATTTGTAATAACGAAATTCCGGGATTTGACAGTTTCAGAATCACGAAAATTTTCGGCATCGAACTTAAATGGTATTTTTACAATGTTTAATTAATTCTAATTTAAAAATCTCATTTATCCAATTCCGGTAATATCAGAATTTCGGTATTTTATATAATAATAAGTTTTAACGCTTTTAATTATATTGCATCAAAATACTTTTAATAATTCAGACGCTCAGTTCGGGCCAAGTATGAACATTCCGTAATTTCGGTATTAAAAAATGACAGCTTCGGGAAACCAAAAATTTTTGTGCCAACATATGAATTATACTCGTAGTTTTATCTACTATAATGTTTGGATGATTAGCGTTATTGTATAAAGTATGAAGCCTTTATTTCAAAGTTTTATTATGGAGCTATAGAGTGTGACAAAACTTTCAACATCCTTAGAGTAATTTAAGTTATATACATAACTCCCACTTAACATAGATGCGGGAAGAGTAGAATAAACTACAAAATACTGTTGCTGTCTTTATAAGAATTTTATCACAAAATTTCGAATTCAAACAATTGGATTTATTGTTTGCTTCTTCTTCATTTATATATTTGCTAATTTCTCTCAACTTGAAAGTTTTTAATTAACTTTAACATCCATTTATTTTCTGTAATGTAAATGTAATGAAAGTAATGAAATCTTTAAATATAGCTTAAAGGTATCATTATACTTATAATAGCTATTAATTTGTTTTCTTTAACTGAAAGACTAATAGTATATATATATAGTAAATAAGAGAATCCTAAATGTAGGCAGCAAAGGATGTCAATATTAAGAGTCCAGCGAAGTCGCGCACCAAATCCTTAAATGCGTTTAATTTATAATTTAAAATTTACTGAAATTAATGGCAGACAATTTGGGAAGATAGTGTCAAGACTTGACGCTAAGAGAAGCGTGTGGGAATAAATTACTGTAAAATGCAATAATTCAGTGTTGTTTATAATACCGCTCAGCTGATGATAAATTCATTAATTCCAAAACTTGCAAAGAAAACCAAAGTTAATTAACTGCACATAGTAAAACAAAAAAAAATATGAAAAAATTGAGGTAGCAAGCGAATAGCTGGAAAAATAATATCATAAAATGTCTTAAAAAAAGCGTGAACATCACGTCACAACTGCGCCGCTGCGTTTAACACTTATTTCCTCCACTCGATCAAGGCGATCGGCAGAGGGTGTTTATAACGCTTGCCAAAAATGTTCATCCAAATCGCGTCAATTGCGAATTTTGCATATCTTGATTGCTTTTTGAATTATGTTTTCGTTTCTGTTTTTTGGTTTTTCTCAAATTAAAATATCCTTAAGTAGCCAGATTGAAAAATAGATATCACAAAATTGGAATTTTTTTAATTTTTTTTTTGTTTATTGTTTTTTGTTTTTTTTTATACTAATGTTAATGATAACTTATATTGGCCTTCAAAATTTCGTATATGCAATATTTTATCAAGCAACAAATTTATTTAAATTGAGAAAATTTGACAAAAATCCAAATTAGTTATTGTTGTTGACCAACATTAGCGTAAGGCGTTCAAATTATATTCACTAACTTGTTTTCTGCGCCACAAACAAGCAAGCGGCTGCTGAGCCAAGTGCTTACGATCGCAAGCTGTGCGAAGATGAGCAATATGGTGACTGGTTTGAGTTTTGAGTATTTTTTGTATTCTTTTCATACCTGTGTTATTTTTATTTTTTGTTGTTGTTGTATTTTTTGTTATATATTTTATTCGAAATCAATTTTCATTTTTAACTTTGTTCCATGCGCCTTTTTAATAGGTTATAGCTTTATTGCCTATCTAATAAACGTTAATTGTGCCTTTGCTTAGGTTTCGCCCACAAGATATTATCAATATGCATTTATGCCATCAATAAAGTCCTTGAACTTAAACCAGTTTAGTCAATTAGATTTTCAACGCACCTATTTTCTTATTTAGAGGTGTCTCGTTAGAGTTGTGGACTTGGTTGGTTAACATAGCTTTGGCTGAATTAAGCAAGTGTTTTAGAAGTATGTTCCACGTTCGTAAGTAATTTAGCAACCAAAAATTTGAATTAAAATTGAAATTTAATTTTTCCAAATCACTTTGTTTTCAAAATTTATAACTCATTTTTAGCTTTGCTGCTCGCCGACAACAATGAAATATAATAACAACATTACTCATCCTTCGTTGTGTCCTGCATAAGATGATATACACATCACAAATCTATAGAATGCAATTAAACCTTCAAAAGTGAATGATTTATTTATTTATGTTCTTATTGCTCTTTCATCACTTTCGCTTTTAGAAAGATTTCTGTTAACGTTCAGGCACTAACTGTGTTTTGTGTGTTGTGACGGTCAGTTCAGTCTTACGGGAATAACGGCACTCAAATTCTGTTATCATTTAATGTTGATCTTTTTAATTACTTGAGATTGTGTATGTTGTACTGTGTGTGAGTATTGAATGAAAACTTTGACGATGCCTTGTCAAATTCTGTTTAATTTATGTTTTTACCAAATCAGTGCTTTCAGTTGCTGGTTTTTATTTTTATTTTGTTTTATATTTTCGATTTTTAAGTTTTCAAATTAATTTTTCACCGACTTCTTAAAAATGTTATCTCTCTGCTTATCTCCAAAAATTCTGTTTGTTAGGACTGACCGTGGTATTGTATGAAAGCTATTGTTACCTAAAATGAAAAATAAATAGTTAGTATATCAACCGGGAGTTTGGTTAACTGAGGTTAAAAATAGAAACAGATCTGGAGACTAGAAAATATAATTAAACTTGAAAGAACTTGTAAATTTAAAACAGAATCTGCGAATTTAAATAAAAAATTTTCTTTGTATAATTAATTATAATGACAAAAAAACTCTAATGGTATAAGAGTACAAACAAATATTTTTTAACACATTTCTAGTAAGCAAATAGGTGAAAGGATTTTTTATTATGTAAATTATCAAAACTTATGGAAAAAGTTTCTCACATTTTTAGTATATTCGTTTTTGTAATATGCAAATCACTTCGCACGAACTTTTCAATTAACATCTCTATCTTAACTAAGCACAGTTGTCTAGTTTTCATTTATCCCAATATTCGCGTGATATCTCAATAGTATGCATAAATACACCGTTCCCGAGAGTAAAATTAATTTATACATTATATTATTTTATTTGAGTGCATTAGCAATTGATTAGCATTAATTTATGACGACAACTGGCGTTTCGCTGCTTTCGACAGCGGCCTGTGTGCATTGTTCTCGCTTCTCGTCAGGAGATGACTTATTCCAGTTTAATAGAAACAATTATTAAACAATTCAAAAGTAATTTTTGGTTTCTTTATATTTCGCAACTTCAAAATAATATGATTAAGCTTGCAGGAGCGCGTCATCAATATTTCAGTATATTATTAAATCTTTAAACACTTCAAGGGTTTAACAAGAAAAAATTTAATAAGTGTATACAGTTAAACTAAGTTCTAAGTGCGGAATAGTAGTGTATAGTGGTGAAATATTCGAAATTCCGACAAAAGGTTTATAGAAAAATTCTGTGTATAAAAGAACACGATTCTAAGTTCTAAACTTTCTAAGAAACTTTCTTTCTTTTTTTTTAAAGCAATTTGTGTCATAAAGTATTTTAAAATTTTGGTTTTATTATATTTTAAAACTTGGAAACCTTTGCTCAAAATTATTAAAATGTCTTGTTCGATGACGATACTGTACAAAATTTATTTAAAAGATTTCTCATATGCAGTCTGTTTAAAAATTTTTAAATATTATTTTATATTGAATATAGATTTGCTCAGTATATTGAAGTCGGTAATATTAATTTAATTAGTTTGCACCGGTCCCAAAATCATGCAATTTATATTTGCACAAAGTTGCTATTATTTATGATGTGGGTATAATTAATTTTTTGTAAAAAATTACTGAATTAAAATTTAGATGGAGCATCCCCAATTAATATAGATGTTTAATTGTTCATTAACTTATTAATTAGTTATTACAATTTCTGAATAAATATTTTCTAAATATGTTTCTATGATAGAACACGTTGAGAAAATATTTTTTAACATTGCGAATTCTCGGTACATATATATGTTTGTGTGATTATTAGTTTAGAGGCTTGATATTTTGAAACAATGATATCTATATAAAAATATTTTCAAATAACACATAAATAAAAAAAAAAATTATATCACTCTAAAATTTATACTGAAACTAAACATTTTTTATTATCGAAGTAAAACCTACCTACTTTACTTTTGAAGCAGCATTTTCAACTTCTATTTAATTAGTTTGCTTCTTAACGCTGATAGTATGTAAAATATAGGCCAATAGATTTTTCCGTGAATATCTAATTTCTAATTATACTAGGCAAACATGGGATCTGTAAGTGGTAAAAGTGGAACCGTTAATTGTGGGAAAAGCTAAACGTTCTCCGCACTTGATGCAATCACTCAGTGACTGAGTAGAAGTTGTTTTGTATTGCTTTAATGGACTGATCGGTTGCGTAGATTACTTTTTTTTTGACCGCCGAATACTAATAAATTTGTTCACACACGCACATTA